GAAATTGAAAGAGTAAAAATAGAATATGGAAATTGACGATGTAAGGAAATGTGTACGGCCTTATTTATAAAAAATAACGTAGATTTAGACAGTTGTTTAATGTGAGATTTTCATAAAACTTTTGTATTCAAGCAGCTTTTTAAATCTATATATGTACTTAAATTTTTATGAAAGTATTATTTCTCGTCTCTAATTTTCTAAATAAAACTATTTGCAGTCATTAACCAACAAATAAGTTGTCAAAAACAATAACTTAAGCAATGCTGCTATACGAAATAAAATTATTAGTGGCAAATCAAAATTTTGAAAAGTGCCGATTTTCACATTCGATAGTTGGATATGGTAGCGACGAGATGTACGAGCATTTTTTTCTTAAGAGCTGCATACTGATTTAAGAAATTTTTTATAGAAGAAAATTTATTTTCCATTTATTGTGCGTAATTTTATATGAATTTTTTAGTTTTTCTTGAGAGCCTTTACAAATAAAACAAGTAAGAAAGTCTAAGTTCGGGCGGAGCCGAACATTAAATACCCGGCGCAAGTATTAAATATATGTTTTCCACCTTTCCGAAAGCTACCGCTACATGATAAGCCGGGGCAATTCAACAAAGTTGAATTGCTGTGCAACTTCGTCTCTTGGACCGCAGCTATCAATATACCATGCCGACACATGAAGACGGTTATCTCCTCAATCTTGCTCTGTAGCCCGTTGCAGTTAAATTGAAGGAGCTTCATGTGGTTCGGGAGACGTGTCGTGATGTGGGGTTTAAGGGATGTGTGTGTTCTCACCGCCGTTGGCTGTGTGCGCTGCTGCGATGGTTGCCGCCCTGTGGTGGTGGCGGGAGGCGTCATAGTTGAGGCCTGCGGCCGAGCAGCGCAACACGGGCTCTCGAGGTTCCCAATCCAATCTCGCGTGGTAAAGTGGCACCAGCCAAGGCAGGTGTTGCACTTGACTGATGTCACATTACGGAATATCCTGGTCTGACATACCGTGCAGATTGTAGGGGGAACCAGGAGCTGTTGGCGGCGGCGTGTGGGTAGTGGTGCGGTTGTGTGTGTTATGTGGTCTGTCGTGGCGATGGTATGGTCTGTGGTGTTATTATGTTGTTGTGCTGTGGTGACTGTGTGAGGCTGCTCGGATGGACTGAGGTTAGCCGTGAAGGCTGCTCTGTTTGAGCAACAGTGGGCCACGTACGACGTGGTCCACTGTCGATGTGTCCGTAGTCCTGAGCAGACTCTAAGGTGACTCAACCCCTCGCAGGCATTACACTTGACTGAGTTGGAGTTGTGGTGTAGTCGTCTCCGGCATACACAGCAGGTGTAGATTTCTGGCCCTGGGTTTGACTCGATGCCAGCCCTGAGTAGAAGATTACCTAGTGAATGTAGCCCTATGGACGAACAACTTCTGAGATACTTCGCCGACCTAAATGGGGTTAGATCGCCGAAACAACAGCCCTTGGCCGGGTAAAACCCGAGTCATTCCGGTACGTAGAACCGGCTGTCGTGGGAATGCCGAGCATCTCCTCCGGTTGGTGGCATGCGCCTTGATGTTGTCACAAAAAGGTGAGGGACCTACAGTTTTACGCCGACTCCGAACGGCGATTGTAGTTTTATGAGAAGCTGTTTTTTATGGCAAAAATACACTCGGAGGTTTGCCATTGCCTGCCGAGGGGCGACCGCTATTGGAAAAAACTTTTTTGTTCTTTATTTTTTTATGTTTAGTTGAACCGGAATGGTAGCCCACAGTGCTAACCACTANATTGGAAAAAACTTTTTTGTTCTTTATTTTTTATGTTTAGTTGAACCGGAATGGTAGCCCACAGTGCTAACCACTACACCACACTGCTAAATCTTCAAGAAGGTGAATAGCAACAGCCGCCAAAGCCAATGGTTTAGAAATTTATGTTGAAGGTATGGTTACTGACGGTAATTATTTCAGTGGCTGTTTTTTCTGTTGAAAAGAAATACCAGCCAACATCATAAAAAATTAAATGGCAAAGGTTTTTCTCAGATAAAAATACAAATTATTTTTGTCTGAAATTTGTGTCTGTCAGTGAGTGTTTGAATATTTCTCTTAGAATTTTGGTTACTTTAAAAACCTTTGAAAATGTTATTTGTAGTTTTTGTATCTATTCTGGGCTGTTCTTTTTAACTCACTATGAACGCGTATTCTTTCATATCAACCACCTAGTGTATTTTAAATATACTTACTTTGCTCTTCCCGTATGGTTCGGCAGCGCGCTCCTAAATAGTTGCGTAAATTAACGGCATGTATTGCAGCACAAGCCCGCTTGTCCAATGTCGCCTCATTTCCTATCCAAAAATATATTTTCCATGCAAGTTGACCCAACTCATCACAATATGTTTTAAGTACAATATAACAATCGCCTTCATAAAATTTTCCATGAGCTACTTCTTCAATTTTGTTTGGCAAAAAATTTTCAATTTCCCATACAGTTAGTCCTGGACTTTTACCGTCTTCTTTCTCAAAGATCTTCGAATAGTCTAGTTGAGGTTTTTCCAATGATTCATCCCATCGCTTCGGTTTAAGTGATTCTGGTTGCATGTCATCGTTCAGGCAAAGGCTTTCGTCCTTCTCTTTTGCTATATCTTTCATACCCTTTAGTATTTTAGCAGAATCCTGATTGGACTCTGCTCGTGGACCTCGACGTAAACGTATTTTGCGTGCTGTAGAATCTTTAGTACTAGACGCTGCTGGTACTGCAGTGGGCACAGCAGCACCAGCAAGAAGTAACTGAGTTTGTAGGGAAAAGTCTATGTTATAGAACTCAACGCCAGACCCCTTAATTGCCTCAGAGGGCTTGGGCGGCATAATTAGATCTGGATTGTTGCGTAAATCAAGTTGATCTAGTCCTTCAAGAAGGTGAATAGCATCTGGTAAAGTTATAAGCCTATTTGAGCTTAAATTAAGTTTTTTCAAAGCTCCACAACGACATAAGCCTTCTGGTATCATCTCCAAAACGTTATTAGACGCTGAAAATACCTGTAGGGAACACAACTTTCCTATTCCAGACGGAATTCCATTAAAATCCAAGAGATTGTCGTTTAAATAAAAGCAACGAAGTTGTATTAGTTTACATATTGCAGATGGTAATGATGTTAATTGATTGCGAGATAAATTTAGTACTTCCAGTTTTTGCCAGCTGTCAATGTTTGAGCTTAGCTCCGTAATAGCATTTTCACTAAGATTAATACGTTTCAAATTGTGCAAATTGTATACACAATCTGGAATCTTTGGTAACATATTTTTTGATAAATCTAGTTCCGCTAAATTTGATAAGCTATCCAAAGTGGTCGGGAAATTTAATAGATTACGTTGTGTGTTACGCATGTTAAGACTCTCAAGGTTTTGCAGAGATGGTAATTGGCGTAGCTGAAACAATTCCAAAGGGTTATCCGCCAAATTCAGAGTTTGTAAATTCGCTAGCCGACGTGTTTGTGGTGGCAACGTTTCTAAGCGGTTATGAGAGAGGTCAAGAAATAGCAAGTCAGTCAAATGTATGAAAAGTGTGGTTGGAATAGATTCTATCTGGTTGTGGCTGAGATTTAACACCAAAAGACTTTTGGCGCGCTCCAAGCCATCCGGAACTTCTTTAAGCTTATTATGTGACAGGTCCAAAGTAGTTAACTCTTCTAATCGAAACAGCTCCTCTGGTATGCCACTGTTTTTTATTTGATTGTATCTTAAATTTAAGGACCGTAAACACGTTAGTTCCGTCAATTCCCCATAAAGCTTTTCCAACTTGTTATGTTTTAGTGAAAGATGTTCAAGTTTAAACAAATTCCCCAATTCTTCGGGAATTTCACAGAGACGAGTGCTGTCCAAGGTTAACCATTGCACTCGATTCATCTGTTTAATGGCTGTTGGAAAATGGTATTCCTAAAAAGATATTAAATAAGAAATCTTGGTCACTAAGTTATAATTTTGAATATGTATATTAGACTGATTAAAAAAAAATCGACTAATTAGTTAAGCTCAATAAAAATTTTTCTAACACCACTTTGTAACTGTGAAAAAGTACTAATGTGTACAAATGTATAAATCGTGTGATCCCTGCTTCAGTATTGCAAACTAATTTTACTTCGATAATTATTTTTATTTCGATAATTCATAGCCGAGAAAACAAATTCCAAAGTTGAAAACAATTTTTTTCTAAGTAATTTATATGGAAAATAGAAATCCGGGATGCGCGCACTTTTAAACTTAATATTAAGGGTTGCGCTTTTAACAGGCATTTTTTTTATCCCCCGGAGGTATTGAAGAGGGGGCTATTAAAAAAAAAAGTGAGTAGGTTTTTTTGAATCGGTCTAATGCATATGTACATGCATGTTAGTCATCATCACTGAAGTGCAAAAAGTNAAGGGTTGCGCTTTTAACAGGCATTTTTTTTATCCCCCGGAGGTATTGAAGAGGGGGCTATTAAAAAAAAAGTGAGTAGGTTTTTTTGAATCGGTATAATGCATATGTACATGCATGTTAGTCATCATCACTGAAGTGCAAAAAGTCCTAAATATCTAATGGTGATTTTGTCTCTACCAAAAAATTTCGCATTTGATTGCCTCTTTATCTTTTCGTGTTCGATTCTAAAATAAGAGCAAACGGAGAGAAAATTTTGTGTTATTTTTTTTAAATATAACACTTTTGTAAGGCAAAAAAGGCTTACTTATTACGTCGGCACTTATTACGTGGGATTTGGTGGTCCCATATTCTTAATCACGTGCGCAGTTTGCTTAAGGATTGCACTTTTGTTTAAAAGTACGGGAAATGTTCGGTTATTTGTACAATGGTTTTGTGGTAGGGTGGAGGGGCGAGGGTGAGACACCTAAAGCTCCACCCTTTAGAAAAAGGACTGTCCAAACTTTAAGAAAACTCACCCTACCCCCCTCTATACAGACTCCTGGAGACCATTTCCGCGTTGGAAACCTTCGGCCGCGCTTAGAAAAAATAGACCTTATCAGGCCCATCCCGCTACGACAGCCACTCGAAATTAATAATAAATTAGTGCTCGAAAATTTGAAATCTTTCGAAAAGATTAAAGTTAATCCCTTGACTACACGTGTATGTTAAACTTTTTTGATTCGGGTAACACGTTTGGACACAATATCCCAAATTAATTGTACAAATAACCGAATCGTTCCCTAAGATACTTTTATGTTATTTTTATAAGAAATAATTAGGGTATTTTTAAATTATTTGTACAATGATTTTGGGTCGTTGTGTCCAAACGCGTGATTCGAATCTTAAAACTTGAACATACACGTGTGATCAAAGGATTAAACTTAAACTTAAAACAAAGATTTCAAACTTGCAAGCACTGGTTTATTAATAAATTCAGTTAAAAAAATACACTTTTTTGTAAATTACGATGTGGGTTCTGCGCAAAAATACTGTGGACGGCGTAGCCGGAGCTATACGCACAAGCAATGTTGTATTTCTTTGACAATAGAAGAGCGACTTCCGCACTCTTCTCAGGCAACGCAGAGAATTCTACCTAGTAAGAGTTGTAATCCTTAAGCGCGGCCAAAGGCCGCCTACGCATAAAGAACTTCTACCAAAAATATTGTGATCAGCGTATCCGGAGTTGGAATGTGTGGAAAACAGAAAGGAGACATCTACTTAAGCGCGGACGAAGATCGCCTACGCAGAAATATCTTATTCAATGGAAGTCTCCGGAGCCTGGGGTCTTCACCTTTATGCACAAGAAATATATTATATTATTATATACCCTTGGAGGGCCAACTCTTCTCCGGCAACACGGAAAACCTTCATCAGTGCCTTCATCCACTCAAAACAAATGAAAACGCAAGTAAAAATTGTAACCCTAGTGACCCATAGGAGCCCCAGGCAGTCTGGGGCTGCATTTTTGTATTGGGTGGTATACGCAACCCAATTCCAATAGGATGAAATGCTTCAAAATTGATTTTTTTATTGGCATTTCAGAGAGAATGTTAATAGTTACGGCGGCTCGATCACGATAACCGGGGCGACAAACTCAGAATAAGGACGTCGATAGAGGGTTTTGAAGCAAGTATTACGGTAAATTTTTTTTTTATGGGAAAGGAAAACTACGGGAGTTACCAAGGGTCAAAGCTCAAATTCATACTCTTTTCTAAATCCAAAAATCTCGAAAACGAAAGCACGGATCATAAAATTGTTTATGTCATTCAATAGGAAAAATGAATGGCTTTAATACGATATACAAATGTTACATGCATCTTATAAATGTTTAGCAATCATTCAATTTAACTGAAAAAAGTTAAAAAAAATTTTAAACATCCACATAATTTTTTAAAAGTTGCTTTCTTTAATATATGTAAAAATTGTATAATTCAATAGTATATAAAACAAAGCTTTCATTTATACAACATGATGTCTTCAGTCCGTGCTATACAATGTTACACCGGCTACGCTATCCACAGTATTTTCGTGCAAAATTTATTACTGCGTAGGCGGCCTTACATCCCTTACTACGTAGAATTCTCCTTTCTGTGTTGCCAGAGAAGAGGTGCGGAACTTCTCTCTGCGGAGGCGGCCTTCGGCCGCGCTTTGGGATCATAACCCTTACTACGCAGAATTCTCCTTTCTGTGTTGCCGGTGGAGAGGGGCGGAACTTCTTTCTGCGTAGGTGGCCTTCGACCGCGCTTAGGGATCGTAACCCTTACTTGGCAGAATTCTTCTTTCTGTGTTGCCGGGGAATAGGGGCGGAACTCCTCTCTTCGTAGGCAGCCTTCGGCCGCGCTTAGGTATCATAACCCTTACTACGTGGAATTTTCCTTCCTGTGTTGCCGGAGAAGAGGACCAGAACTTATCTGCGAAAGCGGCCGTCGGCCGCGCTTAGGGATCATAACCCTTACTAGGCAGAATTCTCCTCTCTGTGTTGCCAGAGAAGAGGGGCGGAACTTCTCTTTGCGTAGGCGCGCTTAAAATTATAACACTTACTACGCAGAATTATCCTTTTTGTGTTGCCGGAGAAGATATACAATTTTCCAAAATTTTAATGTATGCAGATGATGTAAAGCTTTATAAATCGTACGTTTCAATTAAAGAAAGGTCTTTGCTACAATCAGACTTAAACAGCATGGCTTACAGTTGTCAAGTAAATCGTATGCCTCTAAATCTTAAGAAACGTAAAGTAATGTGCTTCTCGCGAACAGCTGTTCATTCCGATTCTTATACAATAGGTAACCATAACCTGGAACAGGTATACAAATTTTGTGGACCTTGGTATCACAATGGATCATAAGCTTAATTTTAATCTTCATATTAATGTGACAGTCAACAAGGCTAAAGGTGTACTTGCATTTGTGAAACGATGGTCAAAAGAATTTTGTGACCCTTATATCACTAAAACCCTGTTTACAACATTAGTTAGGCCAATTCTGGAATACGGTTCGGTGGTTAGGTATCAAATTTACTCAGACAAGATAGAATCAATTCAAAAACAATTCCTACTTTTTGCTTTAAGAAATTTCCGTTGGGATTCTCAATATAATCTAACGGAAGGAACGGAGTGAATGCATCCCTGAATAAATCCCAGCTCACTGGACGGCAGCCTACGGCAGCTAGAGCATGACTCCATCAATGGAGTCCCCCAAGTGATACATGGTAGAAGGGTTACATCTTGCGCTACCGCTTCATTAGCCTGGTCACATATCTCACTCTCATTCTCTCTCTCTCTCTCTCTCTCACATATCAAGCATATGGAGTGCGTCGTTGCCTTAATGTGCACTTATACACCATACGGACTCATTGAGCTCGATACATAAACACTCGCAAAAATAATCCCTACCTCCTCCACTACTCTACCTCGATCACTACACTAAACCTGGTTTCCCGCTCTCCCTCAGCTAAACATGGTCCTTCGAGCCGGATCACCCGCGGCTTATGATACAATCCACTAGACGATCAAGTCGTCTAGGAGGCCAGGCTGTTTAAGCGACCTATGCCATTCCCGCGAACACCCACACGCATTTATATTGCATTTCCCGCATAAACCAAGTGCAGCGAACACACACANCCTCGATCACTACACTAAACCTGGTTTCCCACTCTCCCTCAGCTAAACATGGTCCTTCGAGCCGGATCACCCGCGGCTTATGATACAATCCACTAGACGATCAAGTCGTCTAGGAGGCCAGGCTGTTTAAGCGACCTATGCCATTCCCGCGAACACCCACACGCATTTATATTGCATTTCCCGCATAAACCAAGTGCAGCGAACACACACATGCACCTGTATTGCACTCCCGCCTAAAACCAAGTGCAGTGAACAAACACACTCACTTGTGTTTAAAGGTAATTCCCTCGTTCTTAATTCGCTCGTACTCATTCCGCTTCTTATACAATAGGTAACCATAACCAGGAACAGGTACCAGGTGTGGACCTNCCTTGATGTGCACTTATACACCATACGGACTCATTGAGCTCGATACATAAACACTCGCAAAAATAATCCCTACCTCCTCTACTACTCTACCTCGATCACTACACTAAACCTGGTTTCCCACTCTCCCTCAGCTAAACATGGTCCTTCGAGCCGGATCACCCGCGGCTTATGATACAATCCACTAGACGATCAAGTCGTCTAGGAGGCCAGGCTGTTTAAGCGACCTATGCCATTCCCGCGAACACCCACACGCATTTATATTGCATTTCCCGCATAAACCAAGTGCAGCGAACACACACATGCACCTGTATTGCACTCCCGCCTAAAACCAAGTGCAGTGAACAAACACACTCACTTGTGTTTAAAGGTAATTCCCTCGTTCTTAATTCGCTCGTACTCATTCCGCTTCTTATACAATAGGTAACCATAACCAGGAACAGGTACCAGGTGTGGACCTTGGTATCACAATGGATCCTAAGCTTAATTTTAATGTTCATATTAATGTGACAGTCAACAAGGCTAAAGGTGTACTTGCATTTGTGAAACGATGGTCAAAAGAATTTTGTGACCCTTATATCACTAAAACCCTGTTTATAACACTTTTTAGGCCAATTCTGGAATACGGTTCGGTGGTTTGGAATCCAAGGTATCAAATTTACTCAGACAAGATAGAATCAATTCAAAAACAATTCCTACTTTTTGCTTTAAGAAATTTCCGTTGGGATTCTCAATATAACCTTCCACCTTATACGAGCCGATTAAAACTTATTAATCTTCCTACACTTTCCAGCCGCAGGCAAATGATTGGTACAATTTTTATAGTTAAATTACTAACAGGCTCAATTTCAAGTCCGCTTTTTCTGGGCGAAGTTAGCCCTAATGTTCCCTCCCGGGTATCAAGACTCTTTTGTCCCCTATTTCCGAAAGCTTGTAAAATTAATT